ATGCAGGTTGCCCAAACCCCACTTAATCAGTTGGCGATCAGTGTCTGTAAGTATGGTATGTGCTTTGCGCCGTCTAAGTGCAAAGTACTGTTACAAGATTGGCAGGAGTCTGTACCTGCACTCACTCTTGCGGGTGAACCACTTGGAGTTGTTGATAAGTTTGTGTACCTGGGTAGTTGTGTGAGTGCTGGCGGAAGAGTGACTGATGAGATTTCTAACTGTATAATAAAGGCTAGGGTGGCATACGTCAACTTGAGCCACCTCTGGCACCGTCGTGACGTTAGCCTGGCTGTCAAAGGTCGGGTACACAATGCTTCGGTGCGGGCCGCGCTGCTCTACGCCTGTGAAAGCTGGCCTCCCCGAGCCGAGGATGTGCGGCGACCATGTGTGCTCGATCATCGATGTCCCCGCAGGATTGCTTGCGTTTGATGGCATAGTCGCGTGAGTAATTCTGAGGTTCGGCGGCGTGTGTTTGAACACAGTGGAGATCACCATTCATTGAGTGTTGTCATATGGAAACACCGGCTCCGGTGGCTTAGACATGTGCTGCGAATGTCATCCCAGAGGCTTCAATACAGGTCTCTGTTCGCTAGCCCTGGACGGGATGGAAAAGGCGGAGAGGTGGTCAGTCCATGACGTGGCGTCGTGGGATGGAGGATTTTTGTGCTAGATTAGCATCGGTTGGTGTGTCACGACTCCCTGGTCGGGGTCCGAGAGATAGCTCAAATCGATGTCTCGAAACGTTATCGGATATGGCCAAGAATCGTAATCAATGGCGAACGTGTTACAATTTCCTTCTTTCTTCCCTTCCCGATGATAGTTAACGAATACTGTTTGAACTTGTTAAGCATGACTGTTTTCCTTCCAGATAAAGTTCTTTATCCGTTCTCTACTTATATTTTTTTCTTTTCCTTCTTTTTTTTATCTACGTTGTTTTATTATTATTGTGTGGCGTATCCTTCTTGGTGCCATACTGTACCAAGTTTTTTATGCGTTTAAATAAATAAATAATAAATAAATGCCAGGAAAATGACATACAGTCCAGGATGAAAATGGATAATAAATACAAATTTATTTGAAACACCAAACTAGGTATATACATATATTGTAATTAGATCGTTCAAGAGGGATTTTTTAAACAATTTTTCTGTTACACAAACCAAATGTAAAAAACTACCATAGTGGGCAAGTGTCTTCATGTCAGCAGGTCTCAAGATAACTGAAAAGGAAGTTTGGAATTGGATTACACATTTAAAGTTTCCCTGTTAAAAACATCAAGTAAAAATGTACAGAAGCCCCATCAATCATAGTTTTTAAGTTCTGTCTATAGGAGATTATGATATATCAGAGAAAGCAGTTTACTTAATAAACTACTATCACAGTCAATAGTTACATGCACAGAAATTGTTGTGAAAAAATAAGCGAGGCTGAAATTCCTAAGCTTTAGTATATCAGCTGGCAGTAAAATACTACAGTTATGCACCAAAATATGGAATCGATAAAAAGACCATGAACCACTAACGAGTGGAAAAGTTGAAATAAGGTAGTAATTCAAACAAACCAATCCATTTATAAGGGAACAAATGTTACTAAATCTAAGAAAATCGTTATACATATTTCGTCATCTTTAAACATTTAATACGAACCTGTAAATTTCATGCGAAAAGGATTATTTGATTCGAATTTATTCGATTGGAGGATTTCATCATGGGATGACATCATTTGGAGAACTACTGGGAAACCTGGGGTACTGGACAGTTGTTTCGTAGGCCTAGCTTGGGACTCTTCATCAGTACACACCTGGGTTCGCACCCGGTGTCATCTCGTGATGAAATCCTCCAACCATCCAAACAAAAAAATCCCTACAAAAATCAATACTTGAAAATTCGAATTTAGTTAAAAAGGAAAAAGAAACTAGGTCAGCTACGGAGCATACAATACTGAGGGCAGTCTAATACTTATCTTACGCAACTAGCCGTTCATTTGAACCAAGAGTCACAAAATAGGACTGAACGAAATAGCAGAATACGAGGAATGAAAAGTCGGGCATATGTTGGATCAACGAAAATATACCAGATCTGCATTTAGTGATATATATATCCGATGTCGCACACTCCCCAAGATTGATAAATAAAAGCCAACAAGTTGATAGCAAAAGCACCGATGACCACTTCAGGTAATCGTGAAGGCAGAGGGGATGAAAATACCCAGCCACCAGTAATAAACAGGAGAAATTTAGGAGGAGTCACGTATTCGACTTACCCGACCAGCACTCTTTCATTTACAGGCAGCACAAATGACTGCATCAAAGACATGCAGGATCGAAAAATTAAAAGAAACCTTTATTACTCTGAAGTCAATGTGGAAATGTACAATTACAGTTAAAAACTCAAATATGGAATCACTGAAAATGGAAAGCCAAGGAATCTCGAATGGGTAAAACAGGAGAAAATTACCGATAGAGGTCAATAAGGGTGAAATCAGGTAGTCCTTCAACTAAACACATCGATTTATAACGAAATTAATTTTACAAAATCGAAGAAAATTGACATACATGTTTTATCCTCCTCAAATATTTCAAACAACTCCATGCCTCTGTTTTAACTTGAGTGATAGAGAAGACAGAAACTATGTTAGTTATGCAGTACATAAAATGTTTATACCAGAAGACCACGTTTACCAGAGAATCCAGAAATAATAAAGAGATACGTTTCCCAAATCATAAGTGCAAACGAATGAATATAATGCCTCCGAAAACAATTGTACCCACTAGATAGTTTTTTTCATTACCTTACATAAACATATATTCCTATTATGACGAAAATGCATTCGTTTTAAGAGTTCTGCCCCGCAAATACACGAAACCGAAGCGTTTACTATACCGCAGTCTAATCAAATGAAATTTATAAAAACAGTTGATATTATTTTTGCACAGTGACTACTCACAGTCAGTTCGCTCCGTTCTCCTTTATGGCTGCCTGTCAGATATGCCCACTGAAAGTGAAAGACATGAAAACGTTAGCTGTTTTTCACCCTAAGTGTCTGTGTTCTATCTCTCGTTGGTGTAAGGTGGTATATACAGTGAGCTATATTGAGGCTACCAGTCGAGTGCTAGGTAAGTACGGGGAGTCAACAGACGAGGTTTTGAAGCAGCTGCAGCGATTGAGATGGTTGGGACACGTGTTGTGCATGCATGCCTAGCCATTGCCTGCCTCGACAACGGGCAGTATTAGTCGGGTGACATGCGATGGATGAGGTTCGAAAAGAGCTAGTAAGTGGTCAAACGAAAATATGACATCAGTCAATGAAAGCCACAACAGTTAGTTTAAGTCAGGCAGCCACGTCGGGAGATGGGTGTAGACTTCCAGACTGGTTGGAGTCCTAGGGATGTAAGGTCGGAGACAATCAGTGATATCGATCAAAATCGTTTCCAATAGCTGGCTCAGATGCCTTCACCCTTTATAATCTGTCGTATACAATAAAACTCTTTTGTTCCTCCATATTACTATTCTTTTTCCCTCACTCACACTTTTGTTTATTACCTGTCTTTTCAACTTCCATTTACTGTCTTCTCGTAGTTTGTGTGCCACATGGAGTGTGGAACATATGTGCAAAATTCTATATTGAAACCAGTCAGTCAGTTCCCATTAGACTACTTGAAACAGTATAAATAAAACCCACCTATATCAGCCGACTAACACTGCCCGTTGTCGAGGCAGGCGATGACTAGGCATGCATGCGCAACACATGTCCCAACCATCTCAATCGCTGCAGCTGCTTCAAAACCTCGTCTATTGACTCCCCCTACTTACCTAGCACTCGACTGGTAACCTCAATATAGCTCACTGTATTATACCATCTTACACCAACGGGAGATTTATCGCAGACACCTAGGGTGAAAAGCAACTAACCTTTTCATGTCTTTCATTTTCAGTGGGCATATCTCACAGTCAGCCATGAAGAAGGGCAGAGCGAACTGCTGAGCAGTACATACGCCCTTCGCTCGACAGCCAGTCACATATCACATATACACCGGAGACAGCGTAAACTAGCATATGCGAAACGATCCTTCTGCATTAGCGCTGAAATTTCGTCAGCGATCAACCCGTTGGGGCTGGCTGATGCAACTTCCCATATAAGTGAAGTTGTCAACGGGATCTTCCACTTCCCTCCCTATTTCTAAGCCAGAAGTCAATGTAGTCCAGTCCTGTAGCATCATCTTACATTTGAATGCAGGAGTGAATCGCATGCAAAGCATTCAAAGATTTCAGCTCAAGGTGTTCAGAAGACTCTGCATTACTGAAAGAGAAGAAAAACAACTACTGAAAACTCTAAGGGTTCTCATATTATGATACAATTTATAGATTTTATTACTACATAGGAATTCGATCTTGTGATAACGCAATACGAATGTTACAGCAGTTGAAAACGTAGTTTGATTTGAAATATTTAATTGATTAAATGCCTAAAACAATTTCAAAATATACTGTTATAAGTTCATATATATATATATATATATATATATATATATATATGCGCGAAGCAGACGGGATACAGGTATCTGTGATCAATTAGATAAATGAGGTAATATTGATCTTGTAACATTACTATAAAATAATAACAATAAAAATAAAAGTAGTAACAATATTAACACGTTATAGGAGCGTGGTAAATAAAATGAATAGATAAATAAATAAATAAGGAAATCATAACGTAGAATTATACGGTTTTAAAATCAAGAGAACACAGCTGATCTGGTGCATAATGCATCAAATAATTTGTTTTGTACAAAATATAAAGTTAGATAGATAGATAGTTAGGTAAAAAAAACGCATTCATGTGTGGAGCTACAGATATATGTACATATCCATAACTATATTAATGGTTGACTAACTGTCTGTTATTTCATAATAATAACAATAATAGTAGTAATAAGATACAAAACAGATAAGCAGTAATTCGTTGTTTACCAATCAGCACTTCATAATACCCATTGCCAATCACCGTGTTAAACCGATTGCTGAAGCTAACGAGATTAGAATCAATATACTCGCCACCACAGCCAATATAATACAGATTATCTTGCACTAAAACAGACAGTTGATTATTCATTGATTGATGTTGTGATAGTGATTATATTATCAGTAATTCACAGACGGCATAAACGGTGTATATAGGAGGTGGAAGTGTGTGTGTACGCAGTACACCAAAAAAATTAAGAGGGAGAAGGGAAAAGAAAGGAGGAATATTAGGGACAAAACTAACAACATCAACAATAATAATAATAACAATATTCATACAACGGATAACAGACAACAGCAATAATTTTAAAACAACGTAAAACAATAAATAAATTCATACTATTAGGACAACATACACAGATACTACGTACATGCCATAAATGGTGCGTGTATGTCTGAAAATTTTTTTATGCTTTAAACGAAGTTATCCCCACAAACCCCTGAATAACTTGATTCCGTTTATTACAAAGTAAACCGATAACCATTAGAGAAAGATGGACCACAAAAAATAATAGATAAATACTCAAAGCATTGGATATTTCTTCTGTCGTCAGGTAATGGACAGAGCTTACCTTACCCCCTCCCTCTCCATCAATTTATGCGCACTGCATACATGATAAATACGAAGAGAAAGTGTATAAAAGCTAGAAACTATTAAACGACTTCTTATCCTAACATTTTTTTAAATATTTCGTTTCAAATAATTCAGATGAGAATATTTTGAGTAATCACAAGGTGGTTATGATGACAGAGATGTCTGCGATCTCTTTCTCACGTTACGTGGTTTAATAAGATAAGTAATGTTGACGTTAGGCGTAGAGTGTTGGGCAAAGAGGGAAAATCAATCGACGGGGCTATAAAGTTACATAGATTGAGATGGCTAGGTCACGTGCTGCGCATGCCTAACCACCGCCTCCCCCGACGGGCATTACTAGCTGATATAGGTGCAGGTTGGAAAAGAGTAAGTGGTGGCCAAACAAAAACATGGCCTCATCAATCCATGAAATCTTTGACAGTTAAACTGAGTCAGGTAGGGAGATGAAGACTTCCGGGTTGGGGCCCTCGGGACTCTAAGAATCAATGACTGGAGACAATAGGTGACATGGCTCAAAATCGTTGTCAATGGCTAGCGCAGATGTATTCAGTCTCTGTAATCTTTCATATTCCTTTCTACCATTACCCATTTAGTTTCGCTCTCATACTTGTCAAACTCTATTGATTCTCTTCACTCATCTTCTTGTCTACCTCTGTGTGCTATTTGGAACGTGGCAACTGGAACTGGTGGACTTCGGTGGCAAGTTCTATGTTGAATCCAGACAGACAGATGACAGAGATATGATAGGAAAATTATGTGGAAACAAATGCTACACATGATTATCAACTTCAAACAGATACAATAGTTGTGCATTTGAAATATTACCTGCTTTTATATTAAAGGTGAGCTGCAAAGCTATAGTGTTGACATCATAGGCGTCAAAATTTACTTAAACTGTGAATGCGTTGATCTTAACTTATCTAAAAGTCTCTTCTAGTGTAATATATATATATATATATATATATATATATACTTCACACCGTCAAAAGTGCAGAGTACTTCCTTACGAAATAGGCAGTTGTGTGTAGCAATCACTCTCGTATGCAAGTCACTAAAATTAGTCTCGAAATTTGTGTGTTCAGATAATTAGCTAAGCGCTACTGAAGTGATAGAGGCAACCTTTAATTGTACAGCGAGGACTATTACAAGGACCCAATAGTACATCACAAATCCCAGTGTCTGCAGTTCAAGAGATCAGTTTTTTGATAGTGGCGAAATTATAGCTTTACAGAATACTTATCTCTAGCGTTTTTCATTCTGAGAATAAAGATGACGATAGGTAAATATAGTTAAAATAGTTACGATAGTTGACGTGCTGTAAATGTTACTGCTTTTCCGGTACGTACTCAAAATTTCAAAATGCTAAGCACCTTTAAATGTAATGAAATGTTTCCAATTAAATATTAACAAGACACTTGACAACAGGCACATGGGAAACTGACAAAAGGAATTACAAGGCAAGTTGAGTAGGCTGAAAATCCAACTATACTGCATAACTTAATTGTACCTTTTCAAAGTCCAAAAGTTCATTTTAGAGAGCAAGAGGAATATTATCAACGCAGAAACAAACATTACTAAGAAATGGTTTAAGCTGCCACATCATCTCTCTGCATAACAAACAGAAGACAAATGCAAATATGGTATTTTCGATGTTCGGGTGGAAAAAAAAACATACATAGAAATAACCATCAAAGTTAGGTTTTGCAAAGTAAAAACTACTTGGTAACAAACCGAACTTGTCTTGTTAACCAGTTGCTTATAAACTTCTGCCATCTATTTCAACTTGGACATCATAAGCTATCGTTTATCATATTTTGGTTAGTGGTCTAGCACATAAGATTATCTTCTCGAAAGAAAGAGATAAGAAATACTGTAAAGTGAAGCAGGGGAACGCAACTAGAACGAAGGTTAAACACATGTACGTTGATCAGATAAAATACTAAACGTGCAATGTAGTGATCTCAAGTTTTAGGTTTTCTTTTGCCTAATTTTATCTTAGTCTGAGAATCCTGACAATAACAGCTTCCAATTTATACATTTGGCGATAATGGGAACTTGTGTGTTACTGAAATCTTGTACGAACATTTTCAGGAGAATAGTAAATAGTGACATTCTTAGGAGTTACAGGTGAACAATGACAAAAAGTGACGATAACTGAAATAATTCACTTACCCGACGATTCTTTTTACTTCTAATGACAGCTGCAGAAAGTGTTCTCTTGGAACTTACAACACAATCAGTAGCTTTACTCAAATTGTATTCCACCTGATCGATTAAATCACCCTAATGTATAAAATATATAATAAACAAATTGAGTTCATTAAAAATAAAGAAAATAAAACATCTGCAATAACATTATGCTACGAAAGGACTGTAGTGGACAATATCAGATTGACAATACTAATAGAGAAAAAATAGTCAGTATAGCTAGGACAAGAGTATCTTAACTATACAATGAAACAAAACGAAAAGAGATGAATTGTGAATTATGTTAGGCAAATAAACTTTTCACTTTACTCCATAAACGTGACCAATTCACTTACTTGGGAAGTTGCAACAGCTAGCTCCAAAGGGGTTGATCGCTGATGAAATCTCAGCAAGGATCTAGAAGGCTTTCTCTATCTCTGGTGTCGACATGATATCCAGCTGGCTATCAACCAGAGGACTTGAGTACTGCTCATCAGTCCGCTCCGTTCTCTTTTACGGTTATGAGACCTGGCCATTGAGAGTGGAAGACATGAAAAGTCTGGCTACCTCTCTTTGATCATAGGTGTCTGCGTTCTATCTCCCATCGGTGAACAATATTGAGGTTACACGTCGATCAAGTGCTAGGTGAGCAAGGGAAATCAATCGACGAAGTTGTGAAGCGGCTGCAGTAATTGATACACTACTTAGGATATGTGTTACGAACGCATGCCTAGTCATCACCTGCCTCGACAAAGAGCAATTTTAGTCGAATGACATAGGATGGATCAGGTTGGAAAAGAGCTAGTAGTGGTCAAATCAAAACATCGCTTCACTACTCAATAAAATCCACAACAGTTAGTTTAAGTCAGGCAGCCACGTCGGGAGATAAGTGTAGACTTCCAGACTGGTTGGAGTCCTAGGGATGTAAGGTCGGAGACAATCGGTTATATCGATCAAAATCGTTTCCAATAGCTGGCTCAGATGCCTTCACCCTTTATAATCTGTCGTATACAATAAAACTCTTTTGTTCCTCCATATTTCTATTCTTTTCCCTCACTCACATCCCTGTTTATTATCTCTCTCTTTTGAATTTCTCTTTACTCTTTTCTCTTGTTCTGTGTGCAACATGGAGTCTAGCAAAATGAAGTGGTACACATGTGTGCAAAATTCTGCGTCGAAACTAGTCAGTCAGACTCCTTAAACGGCTTCGCAAGCATCCCTTAATTAATTTGTTTGTTCAAATAGACATTGCGAAACCTGATAGAATAAGCATCACTACCTATAAGATTAACATCTGGAGAAGTACTATCTTCTGAAAAGATATTTATTCCTATTTGAACCTAAATGTGGTTTGGGCTACTAAAATTCGTGTTCAGTCAAGAAATTCATGTTACTCCGTGTTACACCTTTATAATTAGTAAACAAATATGGCCGTTCTCTCAGCTATGATGGTTTTCGCATAATCCAACAGTAAACTAAGTGTTCTACGTTAGAAATCCATGGTACATAGAAAAACAGTTCAAAGATACTCATTGATTCATGGGTTTGTCTCATTATTTCTGTTAATGTGAGTAAATAAACGTCTAAACCTTCATCATACCGGAATACTTCACATTTTAAATTTTATTAATAATCAGACCCTTCGTCCTGAAACTTCTGAATTATTCAGACAATAAACAATTGTAACGTCCACTTTTCTTACGGACGCTTTGTATATTTGCCTGAGTTTTCAGTGAAAAGCACATAATTATGAAACCTTTTGTGTACAGTTATCAACCCAAGGGATTCATTTGCGGTTTATTGACCCAGTAGTTGATACGTTGACATCTGGAACCACGACTAACGCGTCACAGTCCAAGTGAGAACACTATCACTCGAAAGGAATGCAAATAAATCCAAGTGACAGACATCCGACAGTTCCAATATTTGTTTGTAGGGATTTGATTTCTTGACCCTAAGGCGGCACTTGATACATTCAGCTGAGAGGTGCTGTAGCAATGTATGACTACAAAGGGAGTATCGAGAATCTATATCACATTAATCGCGGTAATTCATTTGAAATCACACAGTCGTCTAGGATCCTATAGAAAGTTTTCATCTGAAGTCATGACAACCAGTGTTTATCGTCGCCATTTTTACTTCATCTTAGACGTACTAACAGATATAAACCTAATCAAATTTAGCGAGTTAGAAAATGGCTTGTTACACGGGAAAAGTCTTGTAGATTTAAAGTGTATGAAGATACTGACAAAATGCAGTCTTCCAAATATCTTCAACAGGAATCTTAGTATATTTGACGTGCGATTCACTCCTGTAAAGTGCAGGATGACGCTGCAGGACTAGTCTGCACCAACTCCTAGTTTAAAGATAAGTAGTGAAGTGGTTGAGCGTGTTGACTACCTCAGTTATTTAGAAAGTTTCATCACATAAAATAGGTTGATCGTTTACAAAATCTCAGCTCAAAGACAAAAGGATTGTGTGCCCTTTATTAACTTGCGCCATCGCTTGCGTAGACAAGATACATAGATCACTTGGTTACTCAATGAAGGCACGGTGTAGGCAGTCGGAAAGTAACAACCACCCACACACCTCCAAAAGCACACGAAGCCTCCCCACAAATGGATGAACACTGCTGGCAATATGAATCAAAATTGTTTTCAATGTTGCAGATGCACTTATTCTTTATGAACTCCTAAAACAATCAAATTCTCACTATTCTCCATGTAATTATCAATATCACATACATGATCGTTCTTTATAATTCCACTAAACTTTTATTTATATCTCCTATATGTAGTGTGGTAGGTATCGCGTTGAAAACTCAGTCAGTCAGGTTAAGGCATTCTACACTAACTCTGACTTCATTTACTGCATTCCGAGAAATAGTTCCAACTGCTTGCGACGATTCGAGAACTAGGCTTAAGTCCGAAAATCCTATGATCAAAGTAGCAGTGGTGAAAGACCTTGACAACTTATATAGGAAGTGGGACAATGGGACAAGTGAGATATGCAAATGCCTACCAAATAATAGAAACTATGTAGGTTGACAATCGATATTATCTGTAGAATGAATCCATCAGAAAAATATCCAACATCCTAAGAAAAACATATGACATTTGTGAGACAGTGGAAATCAGTTTTCTGAAATAAAGAGTATCTTCTTTAATTTATTGTTCCTACATCCCTACTGAACTCACATGTTCAGAATTCTTTCGAAACCTACACCATCGCTGTTTGAAATATTATTACTAGATTTGGTTAATTGAAGAGAAAAGTTACCTTCAGGAAGCCTTTCAGCCAATATGTCTCCGGTTGATGAGAGCAAAAGAGAGAGTGGGAACATGGAATGTTTGCACCAAGTTTGAGGCTAGCAGGGGACCTCAGATTGCAGAAGTGAGATGTTGCACAGAAGTATTTTGAATTTGTGAGAGATGGAATGGAATTGGAGTCTCCGAATTGTTTACAAAAGAGTTAATTCTGTTTCTGTTTTCTGTTTTCGACATAGAACTTTGCACAAATGTGCGGAAGTTCAAGTCGCCACATTCCGTGTAGCACGCGAAGCAAGAGAAGAAAGTACAAGAAAAGCATAATAGAAACAGTGAGCAGAGGTGTGAGACAAAGGAGTAATAAATAAATACAAAACAGTTTCATTGAAGATCATAAGTCACAGGGAGTGGATGCATCTGCGCCACTGAGAACGATTTTGAGCCATGTCACCAATTGTTTCCAACCATAGATTTTTGCCGTCCCGAGGACCCCAGCCTGGAAGTCTACACCTTCCTACGTGGCTTAGACCAACTGTTGTGGATTTCATTGACTGGTGCCAAGTTTTTGTTTGACCGCCGCTAGCTTTTTTCCAGCCTGACCCTATATCCGCTAACATAGCTCGTCGAGGGAGGCGATGACTTGGCATACGTAACACATGTCCTAACCATCTCAGTCGATGTAGCTTCACGACTTCGTCGATTGATTTCCCCTCCTTACCTAGAACTCTACGCCTAACCTCCATGTTGCTCACCTTATTATGCCACTTTACACGGGAAATAGAACGCAGGCACCTATGATCAAAGGTAGCTAGTCTTTTCATGTCTTCCACTCTCAGTGGCCAGGTCTCACAACCATAAAGGAGGACGGAGCGGACTGATGAGCAGTACACCCGCCCTTTGGTCGATAGTCGAACATCTCGTCTACGCCAGAGTCGGCGTAAACTAACAAATGCGAAACGAGCCCCTTGTATTCGTGCTGAGATTTCGTCAGAGATCAGCCCGTTGGGGCTGATGGTACTTCCCAAATAAGTGAAGCGGTCAACGTGCTCTACCACTTCACTTCCTATTTTTAAACTAGGCGTCGATGTAGTCCAGTCCTGTAACATCATCTTGCATTTGGCGGGAGCGAATCGCATGCCAAACATTCGTAGATTGCTGTTCAAGGTGTTTAGAAGACTCTGCATTTTGTCAGCGTCTTCGCCTAGAAGGACTATATCGTCTGCATATTCCAAGTCAACGAGATTATTCCCAGGTAGCAAGTCAATCCCTGAATCGCTGAAGTCACCTAGGGTTAAGTCCATTAACACATCTATGATGAAGTTGAATAGAAAAGGAGATAATGGGCATCCTTGACGGACACCACTGGTCGTCATCAGTTCAGATGACAGCTCGCCGTAAGCCCTCACCTGGCTGTATGAGTACGAGTAGAGTGCCTTAATCAGTGCAATATATTTTCTTGGAATTCCCTTTACAGCCAAGCATCTCCAGAGAACTTCCCGATCGACAGAGTCGAATGCTGCCTTTAGGTCAAGAAATATAATGACCGTTGGACGCCGGTAGGAATGCCTATGTTCTAGAATCTGTCGGAGGGTGAAGATATGATCAATACACCCTCTTCCTGGTCTAAAGCCTGCCTGGCTCTCTCTTGTTTGTAACTCCCGAGCACCACTCAGTCTACGCATGATTACTGAGCCTAAGACTTTAGATACTATATTAGTCAAGCTAATCCCTCTGTGATTATCACAGGAAGACTTGTCTCCCTTCTTGTATATGGGGATAATCAGTGACTTACACCAACCCGATGGGACTTCTTCTGATTCCCAGACGCTGCCTAGTACCTCAGTTAATCCGGACAGTAAGCTGTCTCCAGTTAATAGTCTACTCCTGTCACCCAAACAGCAACCACGGGCACAATGAAGGACTGGCTATCACAATGTTACCCACAGTATACAAGGTTCTCATACAGTGTGAATCAATCTGCTTCAGGATAATGACAGCAAGATTCAACCCAAGATAAAGGAAAGTTACAATTATGGAATGTCACTCTCCTACAACAAATGCAGATCAACAGAAGGAAGACTTCTAAAGATAACTATAAACAATAATGGACAACATCAAGATTCTGATGTGCAATATGAATGCCATCATCATCATCATGGGTTGAAAGGTACTCGGCTAAATGAAAACGTAGAACTCCTTGCAGGCTACTGAGCGTTAAGATATTTGGTCATTAGAAGTAACGTGTACAATCACAAAGATATCCACTAGGTCACAAGAATTTCACCACAGGGACGCAATAAATATCAGATAGACTTCATAACAATCTTAGGAAGGTAAGGACACCGCTTACTGAACACAAGATCAGGAAGAAGAGTAAAAGTAAATTAGGACAAATTTCTAGCGCAAGGAATATCCCAGATCGATTTGAAAGCCTTCAGAGAAGTTGGAGACAAACAGAAATTAAAATTCAGCAAAAAAATCTGAAGGATGAAGCTACAAAGTACACCTTTACGGCAGTCATCAGGAAAATGTAGGTGACATTAAACAACATCGTTGAGGAAACCCGCATAGAAAAACACCGTAAATCTCTGAAAGCAATGTGAAAGAAAGCCACTATATGCCTCTGAAGAAAGAGGAGGCAAAACAAGGAATGGCTCACTACAGACACCTGGAAGCTGAAAATGGGGAGAAGGATGGAGAGACAAATGAACCAATAAAGAAATGGAAAAAAAAGCAGAAACTGAGTACAAACTATAGAGCAATGAAGAGAAGAGTGAAGAAGAATGGTAGGGAAGGCAAAAGATGCTTTTACGACACGCTGAAAACTGAAGTAGAACAGGCTACATGTAAGAGAGACCTCGCAAAAATATATGAAGTAATGACGTCACTACCCATTAGGAGACCAACACAGACAGAGTCGATGTCAGATAAACGATTGTAACGATTGTTGCCACTAGAAAAGCATAGGAATAAGTGACTAACAATAATACTCCAAAAATAAACAAGTAGAGTAGAAAATATAACTTTCTACTTAGTAATCTAATGGGGGACAATATATAAGGTGGATTAAAACCATAGAATATTCATGAGAGAATGGATACACAGTTAGCGAAGACAAATTACCTGCTGTTCAACGAGAAGCGCCACATTGAAAAATAACTCCCTCATCTCTTGAATACTTTTTTCTAAACGAATAATATCTGCATGTCGAGCTTCTATATCTGATAATGATCGCTTTGCAGCTTCTGTTTCTGCCATAATCTATCAAAAGAAAAACATCCATATATGCTGTGTAACAGTGAAATATCTTTAAATAGTACTTGTAACATGCTCTACAATCCACTAAAATGTCGTATGCGCAAAGTGATTCAAAGCAGTATCTGCAGCAAGGCAGCAGAATGTTCGCCAACCACACATATTGTCTGGAAGATGCACTCCTACACTTTGCTTAGGCGGTAGGTAGTAAGCCCGGTTAAGAGGGAAGGTTAGGCGTGAGGCTATCAGTCTAACCCCGTAAAAAAAGAGAATAACACCACTGCTACTGAAATTTCAAAGTTCAAAGGCTGAAGCCCTCTGTTCCACTGGGAACGCGAAGGAATAAAATTTTAAAAAATGAAGTTTAAAGCAGCACAACATGTTCGTGTATCGTGTTGGGTTACAGATTGAACGTGATTTTTACCCAGACTAAGAAGCTTATTAAGCCTATTTGATAAAAAAAAATCCACTACTTAAATTTAGGCTTATCATTTTCAACTACATAACCAATAAGCAAAACTTCAAACCACATACATGTTACACTATTTATTCGTAGGCGAATATATGTTATTAGAGGGAATTGAAAATAATAGTTCTCCACAAATACTTATTTTCAATACTTCTGACGTGAGGAATCAACTCAATAAAACTAAAGCAACTAAAATGGGTTCCGGCAAGTGTGCGTCGGCGGCATAGTGGTTAGGATGCTCGCCAACCATGCACATGGTCCGGGATTCGATCCCGACCGACGCACTCCTCTACCTCACTAAGCCAGAAATAATGCTAGTAAAGAGGAAAGGTTGGGCATGAGGCTAGCAACCCCATCCTGCAAAATCAAACACTGCTACAGAAACTTCAAGCCACTAGCTTGAAGCCCTATGTTCCGCTGGGGAACGTGAAGGAAAAAAACACTAATTTGTATTTCACTGTTGGAATGATGAAGACGCAAAGCAAAATTCTAATAAGGCTATACGTCAAGGGAGGTGAATATGTATCAATGTCTCATTAATACAACATATTTCCGTGGTCTGAGACGCTGTGACATTAGTCAACAAATTCTGTGGTAACAGTTTCGGTGAATACTCGAATCTTTGGCGACCACCAGAAAACAGGAAGTTGAAAAGTATAACAATCCTGTTAAAAGACGAAGCTAATTAAAAACGAGGAAAGAGAGACAGCACTAATAAGAGATAACGTCGTGCACGAATAAAAGCAAAAGAAGTTTATTTTTTCCAAAGATCCAAAGATGTTCATATCTCTTTAGTGCTTGAATAAGAAAATAAACTAATATCTCAGTAGTACAGAGTTAACAGAATATTCTCTTCAAGTTAGCTATGAATAGTCTTTAAGAAGCTCTGTTTTTTTAACACCACAATTGGTTTTCGAAGGATGCTTTTTCATTGAGAAGCCACAGTATACAAAGTAATGCATTGATCTAAAGTGGAAGTTTACACTGCATTCCTACATAATCAGCAGCAATACTACACTCTTGATGAAGATGAGGCTCATAGGCTTAAGCACTCAACTCACAGCTAGTGGATCCTATCTCACGTCCTTCAACTGAGGCAACTGGATAATATCCTCAACCCTGACATAATGTGTGACACATAGCCTATTACATGAAAAGTTTACTCCAGGTAACTGCGTACAAACCACATTCTCGAAGCTCCGCCACATTGAGTATTAACCACACTGAAACAAAGGACTTCAAAATAATAACGCTTTGGGTGTAAATAGTTTCATGAGGTCACGGCAAAAAGCAAGTTTAACTGCTTCTGTATGAAAATGTGTTAAAGCAGTGTACCACTTACTGCCTGCGTGAAAATCCCAGGATGATTTTTCTCTAACATTTTTTCAACCTCATCCTCAGAAAATGTCACATTAGCTAGAAGGAAGTAGATTTTGTTGAAAGATGAAAATAAAAAAAAGCTTACCAACATTGAGCTTAGTTCGAATTCGAGCCTTACACTTGTCTCGATAGTCGACTTGGATTTGACTATATCTGTTCATAATGTGAACAAACTGTCGAGAAATAGCAGCATGCTAAAGTAAAATAGATAAGATATTCAAAAACTAAAACCTGAGAGCACTTTAGCCGACATTTACCAGTCGTTCCTGACAAAAGTTTGTCATCCTCCTCTAGTTCTAATTCTAAAATCATGAACGGATGTCAAAGATTACATAGAAATAACTACCTTTTAAAGAACTTCTGATTTTATGTGCTCTGTCTCTAATGGAATTAGTAACTGCATTAAGCTGATTGTCCAATTCTAAACTAGGATAAACAAATGAATAAAGTTACCTGAATCTCTTTGCGGAGTGGCTAGTATATCCTTCTGAAGTTTGTCGATTGTATTGACATCATTCTCCAAAAGTTCAATATCAGTGTGCAGTTCATTTACCTAACAACAGTTAAACAGGCAAGAAATATTTACTTGATTGAAAAGTTTAGCATTGAACTGAGATAAGCTACAGTTCTCATCCTTTTTAATTTGTTTATCATTTTTTCCCTTTATTCGCTAAGAATACAACCAATCGTCAATAAAAATAGTAGGAATTACAGCTTCAAGCTCGGGTAATCGGTCCTTGACCATCCAAATTCACAGGTAACTGTATAGATGTATGTGATGCTGAAAGAAATAATGAAATAATCAGCTAAAAACTCAGTAAACAATAAAGCGTCATCAATCTATATAAACAGAGTTAGGAACAAACGGATTCATGCATCGTGGTAAAAGGTCTAACATATTCTAGCTAGAGAGCATTCACAAGCCTAGGCATTAATGAAAAGGATGTCTTAACAACTATCGGAATGTTTTTTTCAAGTCTTTTCTTATGTGATTAGACTAAAACAGCAATCTGAATGACACAAAAACGCTTTTAGTGGTAATGGTGTATTATTTACTAATTGAACTGTACGAATATTCATAAGGGAGACACAGGACCTCATGAGGCAGATACCTTATGAAGAACTCAATATTCCCTCTCAGATCATACGCTCCAGTCAACCTTTTCAAAAAGAAATGAAGTGTTCTTCATCACCCCGAAGTAATACTCAACTAAGGGTCTTGTTGAACCTCACCTAGAATACTAGCTCACTAGTTTTCTAGCCGGCTTCAAGCCTGGCTAAAGAGGGAGGGTTGGGGCGTGGTGCTAGCAACTCCACCCCCGCAACACTCAACCAAATCGCTACAGAAACTTCAACGAATAAATATATTAAAAATTCTAAAAATATAAACAATAACCTTACTTTTCGCTGGAATCGGGGAAGTGAAATGACGCAGGCTGGTGAAAGCCTTCGGGAAGCCAGTCAGCCGATGTGCCTTCTTTCGATGAAAGCAAAAGTAAGGATGGGTACCTGGAATGTTCGTACAATGTACGAAACTGGAAAGGCTGCCCAGATAGCCGCTGAAATGAGAAGGTACAGAATAGAAGTGTTGGGAATCTGCGAAGCAGATGGAACGGAACTGGAAGGTGCCAACTATCTACTGGAGAGACAATAATCTATTCCGGCCACCCAGAGGACAATCCCGAGCACACCGAGGGAGTGGCCATCATGATGTCACCAACAGCAACCAAAGCTCTCATGCAGTGGGAACCAATCTCCTCCAGGATAATGACAGCCAGGTTCAACTCAAAAGGAAGGAAAGTTACAGTCATTCAATGCTATGCGCCTACAAACGTCTCAGAACAAGAGAAGAAGGAGGCGTTCTACAGACAACTACAAGCAATAATGGACAACGTCCCAAATGGCGATATCAAAATCCTGATGGGCGACATGAATGCGAAGCTGGGAGGAGACAACACAGGAAGAGAACTCACCATGGGTCGTGAGGCCCTCGGTGAAATGAACGACAATGGTGAACTCTTCTCAGACTTCTGCGCCTTCAATGATTTGGTGATTGGTGGTAGTGTGTTCAAACACAAGGATATACACAAGACGACATGGATTTCACCAGATGGAAACACCAAAAACCAAATAGACTTCATCTCAATTTCAAGAAAGTGGAGACGGAGCCTACTGGACACAAGGTCGAGGAGAGGAGCAGATGTGGGTTCAGACCACTATCTAGTACAAGGGACTTTCAAGGTGAAACTAAAAGCCTCGAGGATAGCTGGGGATAGGCCACAATGCAAGTTCAACACTCAATTACTGAAGGACACAACCACAAAGCAAAGCAGGAAACACTACGCGACATCACTGAAGAATCATGCGTGGAAGAACATTGGAAGTCTCTGAAGGCGATTCTCAACGAAACGTGTTCAACGGTTCTAGGAAGAAAGAAGAGACAAGACAAGGAATGGCTCTCAACGGACACTTGGAAATTAATAGAAGAGAGGAGAATGGTGAAAGAGAAAATGATTCAATGCAAGGACGGACAGGAGAAAGAAATGCTGAGCTCAACTTACACAGCACTGGACAAAGAAGTGAAGAAGAGTGCTAGGAAGGACAAAAGACGATTCTACGACAATCTGGCCACTGAAGCTGAGAAGGCAGCAGGCAAAAGGGACCTGAGGACACTATATCAGATAACCAAATCTCTATCCGGGAAGAGACCAACACAAGCGAAACCTATAAAAGACAGCCAAGGGAACCCATTACCAAGGAAGAAAGATTAAACAATGGGCGGATCACTTCAAAGGACTCTTTCTGCAACCCGTCCAGAAATACCAACAACAGCGCGCACACAACTGCAAGTTGACACCAATCCTCCAACGAGAGCTGAAGTCTTGAATGCAATCAAGCTTCTGAAAGCTGGAAAAGCAGCCGGACCAGATGGAATACCCCCTGAAGCACTGAAAGCGGACCCAGAGACCACAGCAGACATGCTGACTCCATTATTGCAAAAGGTCTGGAAGGAGGGAAAGGTGCCTACTGACTGGAGGAAAGGTTACCTCGTGAAACTACCAAAGAAGGGCGACTTACGCCTCACTCTGCAAGAACTGGCGAGGAATCATGCTCCTGTCGACGCCAAGTAAAATCCTGAGTCGCATCATCCTGGAGAGATTAAAGGACGCACTGGAGACAGAACTCCGACCAGAACAAGCTGGATTCAGGAAAGGCAAATCATGTTCTGACCAAATTGCAACTCTACGCATCATCATCATCGAACAAAGCATGGAATGGCAATCAAACCTCTACCTCAACTTTATAGACTTTGAGAAGGCCTTCGACAGCGTTGACCGTGAAGTAATTTGGAAACTACTCGAGTACTACGGCGTGCGTCCCAAATATTCATCAACCTTATTCAACAGCTGTACGACAACGGCACATGTCAAGTGATCCACAACGGAAAACTCAGCGAGGCGTTTGGAGTAAACACAGGAGTCAGACAAGCGTGCCTGTCTATTATCACCAATGATATTCCTAATTGTGGTGGACTGACTGGATTATGCGTCAGACAGTGGGAAACGAGAAGACAAGGATATCCTGGACCGACCGACGTGAAGAACCTAGAAGACCTGGATTTCGCGCGTGGATGATTTATGTTTGATGTCACACAAAATCGAAGACTTACAAGCGAAAACGACCGACAAACTGGTCGAAGAAGCAGCCAGCGAAGACAGGACTCTAAGTGAACATAGACAAGACGGAGGTTATGAAAATAACCAACCAACCAACAACAACAACAATAACAGCAGCAGCAACATCCAGTGCCAATCACCATCAACGGGAGGGATTTGAAAGAGGTCACTTCATTCACTTATCTAGCATGAGCATTGTCTCAACTACAGGAGTCGGAACGGACGAGGATGTCAAATCGAGCGAGAATCGGGAAGGCGAGAAACATTCATCAACCTGAAACCAATCTGGAAATCTTCGTCACTCAGCCAGCATCAACAACTAAATCCAGTCGGATTTTCAATACAAACGTCAAGTCAGTCAGTTCTTCTATACGGATCAGAAACTTGGCGGGCGGGTCACAAAGAATATTTCCAACAGGCTATTACAGACCTTTATCAACAACTGTCTTCGCTCTATACTGAAGATAAGATGACCAGGCTGGAAACAATCACCAAGAAAATTTGGGAACAAACAAGCAAAACAAGAACCAATCGCCAACCAACAAATATGCAGCAGAAAGTGGAGATGGATGGATTGGACACTCGCTGAGGAGGCCGCTGGGTGACATCGCGCGCGCGTCAGGTCATCTCTCGAGTGGAACCAGGCCGAAAGGGAAGCGGTGAGTGGGACGTCAGTGTAAGGGTGACATGGAGGAGATTGTGTGAAGAGGAGTTGAAACAGTATGGACTAACCTGGATGGATGCAAGTAAAAAGTACAGCAGGAGACAGAACTAAGTGGAGACGTTCAGTTGAAGCCCTATGTTCCACTGGGAACCCAAGGGAACAATAATAATACAATAATATAGGTTTTGTCAATGCTATCGCCAATATAACCAAATGGCTGGTAAAATCTCAACCTTGTGTGATACAAATAATATAATTAAATAGAACAATGTATACTATTTTTTCTCTGACTGTTAAAATAAGACAATTAAATGTATAAAAGCCATTAAAATAGTTCTATAATCCATAATATGGCGGGAAATGCGTACATTGAGAGTTAGTCAGTGGAAGAGTACAGACTGAGAGAATTTAGGCACTCGGTCAGATTATATAGCTCAGTCAACTCAATCAGCTGAAATGTCTCCAAATCAGCTCGAATAAAGTCAAAAAATTTATAGAAGATCAACTTCAGAAATATCTCTAAACATAAAGCCTGAGTGCTAGTCGAATCCGCAGGTGATGGTTTTTCTTGAACATCTATCAGGAACTCAACACTTAAAACAATATGCTCCAGAAACCATCCCAAAGAAAAGCTTACATTTACGCCTTATTTTCATTCAAATAATAAAATCCAATTACCCAATCTTTTATTGAACTTACTTTACGCCTTCTTTATGATTACATTCTATGCTTTTACTTGGTTGATTTCCTTACTTCACAAGATTTAACCTGACAGACCAAAAGAAATTTGATCCGCCGAGCTGCCACTGGACATCATTACAATAAGAAGTGGCTTAATTTCAGTCAAAAAGAGTTCAAATTATAGTTACAGACATTTACTTTATGTGTAAGTCAGTGATTCATCTGCGAAGTGGAGGATGGCTTTATATCCACACTGAGTTAAAAATGGATAGATATCATTAATTCAGTGGGCAAAAGTAGACATTCCCACCCATCCCAGTTTTCTCACCTATCCATAGTAGCTACTCGCTACGATGATTACACCTTCAAATGTCCTGACGTAATATTCAGTCTTCAGTAAGACTCACCGATCTTAATTTATGGGTTGTACAGAGTGGGTGCACGACCAAAGGTTAAACAGGAAGAATATGATCGGTCTTTTTAGTTTTCAAAACACTGTATAAACACACCGTTATCAGTTAAGGATTAGGAGCGAATCCAGAAACAGACTTCCGTCTGGGATAAAATATTGTACGTAGGACTGTGTGACTGCCAGACCTCGCCATCAGATACTAAATCGAAGCACAGACTAAACACGAATGCATGATTACAGAAAAAGCCACAAGTGTAAGCATTTATAATTATACTTATCACACATCTGGGAGAATACCAGATTGGCTTTATTTGTTGAGAGAAGAAAGATCTAATGAGCAATTTGAATTCGAACAAGTACTCGGCTAACAAAAAAGATAAAGTCAGCAATGATTAAATATCTCCGTAGTAAACGGTGATATGTCGCACAAGCGAACTCTGCGATATGAGAGTGATCTACTCGTTACTGCAGCAAAGAAGTTTTCTATGAACAAAGACTCGCTCAGCGAAATTACAATGAAACTAAATTCATGTACCATAATTTTCCAAGCAAACGAAGAAATGATACAGACAACTGATCATGACTGTGTACTCACAAAAGAGTCTAACACGACACTTATATGCCTTCATAGAGATGTTTCTGTAGCTTCCTTAAAACCCAATATATGAAAATGCTTCATTGTAACGGAACTTCAAATAAAAACTGAGATCAACTTAAAATGTAGGCAACAAGTTATTACGTATCAGTAGCCTATTAAAATTTCTCACTATACTTAGTGTGAACATTTATACAAAAATCAAAATGGTGCAATCTTTTAAAACTTACACGGTTCAGCTATTCTGTTGAAGGTGTCGAGTTAAATCACTGAGGGTGAATCATACGACTAAAAATATCCTGGAACCTTGGTTGTAACGAACACATTCAGAAAAGCCGCATGTTTTTACTGGAGAAAATAGTGATCTGGATTAAATACTTCCAACTGTAAACAAAAAATTGTCTGCCGTCTTATTACAGGATTTTTAGCAGAATATAAGTTTTGTTTTAAATTATTTTATAATCGTAGTATTTTCAAATATTTTTTAGTTATCGCGATGGCTGCTATGTGTCCTCAAGAATTCAGAGTTGCTGAAGACAGTTTTGGTAAAATTCTAGTTCCCAAAGAAAGTTATTATGGAGCCCAAACTGCAAGATCTTGCATGAACTTCAACATTTGCTCAAGAACTGACAAGATGCCAGTAATTTATTTCATTAGCGTGTAATTCTTGTAGTCTCAAATAATCTATTCTATGGCCATGATAAAAGAAGTGGCCGCGTTAATAAATTTTAAAAGTGGCAGGTTAGATAACCAGTTGTCTGATGCCATTGTGCAAGCTTGTCGTGAAATATACCAAGGAAAACATGATAAAGAATTTCCTCTCGTTATTTGGCAGACGGGCTCAGGCACCCAAACAAACATGAATGTCAATGAGGTTGTGTCGAACAGGGCAAGTGAGTTAATTGAAGGGTCTAGGAATTCAAAGGTCCCTGTTCATCCAAATGACCATGTTAATCTAGGACAGGTTTGTGCGTTTTCTCTCTTTGTTTTCAATGCGCTTATAGAGTTCAAACGACATATTTCCTACATGTATGAACTTGAGCATCGCAATAGAAACTTCTTGGAAAGTAATACCTTCCCTTAACTATCTCATCAAAGTCCTTGAAGAAAAAATGAATGAATACATGGATGTCATCAAAATTGGACGGACTCATATGCAGGTCAGTTAATTCCACTTATTTATCCCTTCTGTAGGATGCAGTTCCAATGAGTGTTGGTCAGGAACTAAGCGGATATGTCAACCAAGTTCAACAGGCAGTGAATTCAATTAAGTTACAGCTGCCCCTAGTCTGTCATTTAGCCGTCGGTGGAACCGCAGTAGGGACAGGATTAAATTGTTGCAAAGGTTTTGATGAAGAATTCTGTAAAAGCCTGACAGAACTAACAAAAATTCGTTACGTCTCAGTAAGTCTTGTTTTCTTCTTTTCAAAACCTCACATATATATACATATATTTATTATACCCACTGATATGGAAAGTAACTGACAAAGTTCGAAACAATTGTTTTCCAGATTTAAGCCGTCCTTCGTAAAGTTTAAAGACTTTGAAATCGAGCCAACATTCAATCTTAATAGCCTATTGGTGGTAGCTTTTCCTAATGAACCTGATTACGGATATATATTTATATCCATTCAAGCAACCAAACGTTGGTCAGCTTTTGTAAGTGTCTAGAAATAATTACTTTTCCGTGCATAGAAAGAACCATTCTTCGGTTTGAAGACTCTCTTATGTCAGCTTGCCTGCAGGAGCACTTAATTTTTCCCTTATCCATTCCAAGCTGAATGCTATAAAGACATTAGTTCTCTAACTTTGGCCAAGAATCCAAAGCTGTCTCTAAAACAAGGCTTCTAACACTTGTCCTACTTCTTGACCTGACTGGCATTCCTCCTGTTAGCCATGAGATGCTTCAGCAATATCCGGAGGGGATATTGCACTAATCAAGGCACTCTTTTCAAACTCACACAACCCCTTAAGACTGATGACAACTTGTAGTGGTCGGTATCTCTATTTTTAACCAGTTAAATCTCAGATGTACTAACAGATGGGTTCCTAATGGGCTTTAGCGGCTTAAAGATTGACTTCTTACCCTGGCACGGTCTGATCAATTTGGAGCATGCAGATGATATTCTCCAACTTGAATATATACACAAAATGCAGAGTCTTCTGGACACTTCCGTCATAAATCATATTATGTCTGACATGCGATTCGCACCTGTAAGATGACCCTGTGATACTGACCTACGTAGACTCATAGTTTAAAGATCTCAAGTGCAGAAAGATGACTTCGTGTAACTACTTAGTCTTTTATTAGGTCCGCCACAAAAATATGAAGTGGACTGGCTGAGTGTGTTAACCAGTTCACTTCTTTTGGGAAGTTGCAATAGCCGTAGTACACTGGTTATTGACGAATGCTCAGCACAAATAAAAAGGCCTCGTGTGGCATTTGCCAATTTTCATCATCTCTGACACAGATAAGAAATCTGGTCATCGATCAGATGACATGTATTCTATCCATCCATTTGCCTTATTCTTCTTTATAGGTGAGACTTAGTCGCTGATACTGGAATAGTTGAAGAAACGTTCTGTTTCTCTTATCTCTTGGTTTAATATAGTGGATGGTGTTGTGGTTGGCCGCAGAGGAAAACTGTGTACTGCAGTCGTAGGGAGAAGTTTAATATCTTTACTTGATAAGAATATCCAACAATATGTGCTAATTGTGAGATTATCGTACTCACCAAGCAAATTCAAAGTTCAGTCTAAAAATTTACAATTCATAAAGACAATGACTGTAAACTTTTCCACAAGCCAATGCTTATGTTGAGAGTGTACAGATGACTTGTATGTACTAAAGAGCAGTTGGTTGTCTAACGCGTTAGTGCATCATTTTTGTTTACTGTATGAAACTAAAATATTCAGATCTGCTTTGCAGCTTTGATGTCATGATTAGTGTGAAATCAAATATCGTTACAAACTATAAACAGCAGATTATTTTGTTAGTTCGTTCAACTATACATTTATGGCTTACCATCATTTATACGTCTAAGCCTTGCTTTTCTAAACAATCCTCCGTCTTTCGTCAGTCTATGGTTTTCAAACAGCTGTAAAACGATAGATTCACATTAATTAAATAGTTTAGATTGATCTATAGCTAAAAGGGTTTACTGCCAAATGTCACGCAACCGCATTTGTCAAAGAGTGCTTTAGTCAAACACCGTAATTTCTATAAGATTACCCATGGAAACCAAAAGCAAAGGTTATGATACGTAATACGGAACCACTTTATATTAAGAAAATGTGCTAGTGAAATGAGCTAACTTTTAAAGACCATCCATCAGGTTTGAACGTTTTGAAATCGGAACGTTCATCTAAGTCACTTGTAAATGGCTCCACCAGTAACAAGTTTGGGTCGAACTCTCAGGTTTCTGAGCTAATTACTGATTACATTATATTATTATTGTTCCCTTAGGTTCCTGATAGAAAAAGGGCTTCAAAGTCACATTTATCTATTCTCTGCAGCCCTATTCAACTGGCGCCACGACTACCCATAGTCTCTCATCATCTCCTAACACTATCCCCTTCATGTCATCCTTTCACATGCATACGTCAAACCAACTTTTGTTAGGATGTGCATATCTGAGAGGAAATTAGGGTGTCAAGTATCTAATAACTGCCTTAAGGAGAAAATACAGTCATACTCACCTTCAAGTATTTAGAACTCTAACTGTGCATACTTGGTGTATGTTTATATGGAAGAAATACTCTTTAAACTTCTATAGACCTCACTAAAACCTCCTTTATGAAGAGTAAATATTTGGTGTTTCTAAAAGGTGAATAAGTAAGCCAGTCTTCGTCAGAAAATTGCAATTCTCAGTCCTTTCTCAGCATTTCCGTTTATAGTCCACTTTGAAACAAATGAGAAATTGGTCTTAGTATACCATTTCATTTGAAAGCATTTAATGCAGAATAATACCCACTTTATTTGAATTCCATCATCTTTTTTAGATGTATAAAGAATCTCCACCAGTAGTGGATCTAATATTTAAACCAGCAGAAAACAAATTTGCTGCACTTGCAGGTCATGACGCTTTGTTGCAGTTAAGTGGATGCTTCAATACTACTGCCACAGCTTTAATGCGTTTAGCCAATGACTTCTGCTTACTCAGTTCTGGACCAAGTTGTGGTCTCAGCGAATTTATTTTGCCTGCGAATGAACCTGGATCAAGTATTATGCCAGGTTAGTGGAAATTATTTTTGAGGTTTCTATTTAGGACCATGAATGTTTTGTTTTTGGAAGTATAACTTGGACAACTGTACCTACTAAATGTATAATAAATGTATTTTGCCGTTGAAATAATTAGGATTCTCAATAAATTGTTGACAGGCAATAGTATAACGAAGAGGACCACTCAAATTTCAAATGAATATGTGACAAGTGCTTAGGCAGTCGTATTCTAGATAATAAATACCGCAGACAGATATGAGCAATCTACAGATTCTCATGTTAGTATGCAGCAAACTGCATACTTTTTGTAGTCAGTCTTAAACATAAAAGCATTTTTAGAGCTTAATAGTGTGACGGATGCTCGTCATCCTTGCGGCGTGTCTGGATTCGATTCTCAACCGGCACACTTCTAAAACTTGTCCAATTTGCTAGCCTGCAATAAGGCGAAAAGAAGACAGGAGGTTTGATGCGAAGTTACCAACCCAACCGCGTAAAAACATCATTGCTACTGAAGCCTAAAAGCTTCAAGTCAAATGTTTCACTCAAACGCAAAGGGACGGTCAAAGAAATAGTGTAGACTATCTGTATGGAACTTCGTATCACTATCTGACAGTTAGTTATGCATTGAAGATACTGATCTCGACCCACTACACCTATTATCTTCAAACCGGCGTTCTCATCAGTAACATCTGTACTTAGTCACATGGTTCCAATCAATGGACTCTGTAATGTATTGTCACACCCTATTCAGATCACTCTCATAACATCATTTCTAAGAAACTGTGCACTCCTGTAAATGAAGTAACAAAGTGGTTGTATTTTATTTACAAAGTCTAACTTGTGATTGTGATACCTAAATCTGTGTCACCATAAGGAATAAGATCCGACTGATTTCGCCTTCACCTTCCTAATAAATTATTCTGTGGCAGTAATAAAACGAGAACATTACAAATATATTGTAAGGTTGTCATTGATATAAATGCATCTTACTTTGTTGCATCCCATTTCCTTTCTAATGTGTTTCACAGTCCGAATAAATTGAAAGTGGTGTGTTTAAATCTTAGACAAGCCTACTTGTTCTGCAGTGATAAAAATGTAAATAATTGTTAGAATATACTCAATTCTGACGATAACCAAGTTCGTAGGCGACATTGCTTGTTACTGTGTTTCTACACCAGGCTTGTGTCGTACATACATTTGTATGCACCGAATATTCAAGTTGAGTTTACGTGTTATAATATAGAAATGAATCCAATCTGTTTTTTGTGTCACTTGAGTAACTATCAAGGGATTTCTTGCAAATTAAAACTCCACACGTGGATGAGTAGATTTCAAATCCGTTTTTTGATTAGACAACAAGATTTGTATATTTTTTCTAAGATGAAAACCCTCTAGTCTCCTGATGGGGAATCTTTATTACCCAGGCATCAGGACTTTTTAAGTATGCGGCTAGACTACTGTTTTTCGTTTCTACAGGTTTGTATTTTGTCCCTCTTTTGGGTGGCCTGCTTAAAACTGGGGCTACAGAAAAACCTCCATCAATATATTGCTTAGTGTTGCACTTACTGGAAGTTCACCATTCAAGTAAGACAAATCAGACTATCAAGTGTTTCTTTTGTACATTCTTCTTTTTTTGCCTACTATTTTTTTTACTTCAGTATTTCGTGTCCTTATAGACAACTTTGTTGCATGGTCATTAAAGGTGTTATAAATTTTTTCTTATAAGGGATGAATCTTGGATTATTCCTCTTGAAGTAGTTGTATCACCATCTATACTACATTGAAGTTTACATTCAGAGTTTTTCATAAAGGTGGCCTGCTTAAAACTTGGGCTACCGAAAAATCTCCATCAATGTATTGCATATATTTTCTCTAATTTATTTTGTTTAAATCTAGTCGAATATGCTCTGTAATAGTATTCGTTACTCTGGTGAGTGTATTTAAAACACTTGCAACCGGTTGATTCACAATTTTCTACTAAATATGTGATAAAGCATTATCCTCAATGGCAGCTTATCCCAATAGATGAGGTGACCGTTCCTGAGTGGTGATGTCCTTGGTTCACAAAATGTGCTCCTGAACACTGTGAAATTGGCATTCAACAAAATGTCGTTGTGTATTTGTCGGAGAGAAGAGGAAAAGATATCATAATAGATTCGTTTGCTCTTCAGGACAGATAGAACTGTATCACACGATCTACTGACACTTAATCTTGTATGGAGGATATCACCATGAGCTGACATCAGTTAGAGAACCACTGGAAAACCCGGGAGTACTGGAGAGCTGTTTCGTCCTGGTTTGGGACTCTTCATCAGTATGTACCCACCGCCGCGATTCGAACCCAGGACCTTCCGGTTACAAGGCGAGCTTGTAGACCAATGAGCCACTGGGACCCGATCCAATGGTTCCTGAATTCTAACTTCTGCCAATTCACAACATAGCGTGACCATTTCGCAATGTCTTTTTCGATGAGTTACTTCCTCATCTTCAACCTGCTGTACCCTACTGGTCACGGCTTCCCACTAGAACCCCAGGTTAACTGCCTGAATAGGACCAGTCGCTAGTGAGCATCAGATTAATTTTCAAGTATTGATTTTGTAGGGATTTGGTTTGGTTGTATGGAGGATTTCACCATGAGCTGACATCAGTTAGAAAAACACTTGGTTCGAACCCGGTGGGTGCGTACTACTGAAGAGTCCCAAACTAGGACGAAACAGCTGTCCAGTACTCCTAGGTTTTCCAGTGGTTCTCTAACTGATGTCAGCTCATGGTGAAATCCTCCATACAATCAAACCGAATCCCTACAAAACCAATACTTGAAAACTTAATCTTGTATTTGAAGATCCTGCATGAAGAGAAGATATCATGTAATAAACTCCGCTGAAAATTCTGTACATTACAAAAACACTGTTCAGAAAAAGTCTCTTTTATAGAGATATATCCCGCTTAGATCTCATAGTAAGCAGTAATATTTGTTAGTCAGATCTAGATTATCTAAACGCCAGAACAAAAGTTAGTACAGAAGTTATAATAAAAAGATTTGCTATGTGAATGGTGAAAATGAAACTCAAACACAATTCGATCTTAGGGACTATATTTTCAGTTCGTCAAATCGCTGTGGCCACAAGTTCTATACATTATAAGGCAGTGGAATTTTATACATTTGAGGAATTAGATTTATTCCTTTATCTATGCATACTTTTCAAAATACAAATAAGCTGTCATGATATTAATTATTGAATTGAATTTTTGATTTTCCCGTCGATTGATTGGACCGAAGTGCTCGGTCTCAGGTTGACATGTCGGCTTCTTGTCCATATGCTTCGACGATGTCTGGGTATGTCTGGGCCCAAGTGGTCTAGTGGATAACGCTTTGGCGTTCGAAACTATGGGCACTGGGTTCGAGCCTCAATGGGAACACCATCACTCACTGAGAAATGCAGGTGCATCCAGATGACGAGTCCCAAATAGAACGAAATGCGCATCCTGGATTCCACTGCTAGCCACCATCCACCAATTGTCATGATATTAGTTAGGAAATTAGTTTAGTTACTAAATAAAACTACTGCATATCACGAATTCATTGTATGCCTATTTTGTACAAATAAATGTTCAGCTAAGAAATGAAATATATCGATAGTTTTCAAGTTCATTGCTCTGTATGAATATATCACTAAAAGATCCACGAACTTGAATGTGAATCCAAAAGAGATTTGATTTTGTAGACCAAAAGTTCTTTGTTTGCTGTTTATAATCATTTTCGTAGATTAAATTCTTTAGATATTGAAACTATTTGCTGCTTGATTTACTTCCAATAAACTTCTTACTTAACGGGAGTAATACTAAAATAATCAGTCATTTCAGCTGAGGTGCTTTTTCACTTGTATGAAGATGTTCAGGAAGTATACGTATTTACTGTCTTTCTAGGAAAGAGAAAAAGGACTCCCTAAATTTCAGATTCATTTGTTTGCGGTTTAGCAGTAGTACGCTTGCCAACAACTCGTGTGGCCCAGGGTTCGGTCCCCGGATGATGCACTCCTAAACCTCGCTAAGTCGGTAGTAAGGCTGGTAAAGAGGGGAGGTTCGGGATGAGTCTAGCAAACCCAACCTGTTCACTTAAAACCACTGCTACCGGAACTTCAGAGTTATAGCTTGCAGCCCTATATTCCACTCAAATGTAAAGAAATAAAATATAAAATAAAGCTCAAAGGTGAAGACAGTTATTCATCGAAGACATTGTTAAGTGGTCGCGCTATATCGGGAAGTTGGTATTCATGGGCCATTGAATCGGGTCCCAGTGGCATAGTGTTCTACGAGCTCGCCTTGTAACCATGTGGTCCTGGATTCGAACCTTATCGGCGGGTGCGCACTAGTGAAGAGTCCCAAACTAGGACGGAACATCTGTCCAGTTCTCCCTGCAGGTTTTCTGATGGTTCTCTAATCGATGTTGACTCATGAGGAAATCCTCCAACCAATCAAACAAAAACCCTACAAACCAATACTTAAAAATAATAATAAATATATCACACATACTCGAACACGATATATTGTTCTTAATCATATCATTCCCTAAACATGTTTTTTTTAAATAAATGCATAAGAAAATAATATTTGATTCACAAACTCATGATTGGCTGATTAAAAATGCCCGTTCAAATTTTTCAAAAGAATGGTTACTGAACAAAGCATATTCTTTTCGATAACTTCATTATCAGATTCTAAGGTTATATGTACCTAATAGTGAATGAATTAATAATCATTTCAAAGGATCGCAGACCGATTGGAACATGAATTGCCTAGACTAGCTACCTATTCTAGCATCCACGATTTCATCTGCGGTTTTGCAGCAAGTTATATTATCCGTTACTCTAGGAACTTGATTTTCCGTGATCGGGAGCATCTACTAGTGTGCCTATGTAAAGGTGCAGTAAAAACCATCAAAAGTTTGATATTATACCACTTAATCCGAACGGACCACAAAGCCAGCATCCAAGAATCCTTCATCATCATCTTCCGAGTACCAGATAAACTGCCAAGAACATGGAGGTACCGCATACTTCAAACAGCAGGGGCTATCACGATTCACCTTATACACCCGTACCCTGTGTTCAGAAAAAACAAGTCCAGTGACTGCTATTGCCCTGACAGGCCTTCACTGGAGACTATGAATTCATGAATTTGTATTGGTATCTCTCCTAATTTTTTCTGATGTTTAGTGTATTGTTATATTGATTCTGTTGAACTGTAATCCACTGATATTATCATTGATTCGATGTTATTTCAACAACGTTAATAGTGTCAATATCCCTGGTGATGGTGAAGTTATCGAAAACAATATTCATTGTTGAGTAAACATTCTTTTGGAAACTCATGATTATCAACATTTCTCATATTTCTGTCATATTTCATTTCTATCTCTTTTTTTAAAAAAAAATAGGTAAAGTCAACCCAACTCAGTGTGAATCACTTCGAATGGTTTGTTTACAAATAATGGGTAATCATTTCACTGTTTCTATGGCTGCATCTCAAGGCCAATTAGAACTAAATGTTTACAAGCCTTTGATAGCTGCAAAACTTTTGCATACATGTGAACTTTTAACTGATTCAACACGTTGCTTTGCTGATAACTGTGTAAAAGGATTACGTTTAAATTTAGATCAAATTCAAGAGTATGTGAAAAAATCTTTAATGTTAGTAACAGTTTTAACACCACATATTGGTTATGATTTATCAGCTCAATTAGTTAAACATGCAACAAAGTACAAAAAAGGATTACGTGAAAGTGCAATTGACTTAAATTTATTAAGTGGAGAAAAATTTGATGAAATTGTAAAACCTCATGAAATGGCATTTCCATTTGATAAACACTGACTTATTCTTTATCTTTCTTGTAATATTCTTATTTTCTTATTTCTCTATCAATTTATACAATTTGTCTGATCTTTTCAATTTTTATACTTTTGATAGTAGTTCTTTCATAAAAAGGAAAAGAACAACGATGAAATAACCAAATTGTAGACACTAGTATTTGATCAGTGTATCATTTAATATGAAAAAAAACGTTTTGGCTGCTAATCATAAATTCTGATCAATAAAAAAAACAACAGAACTCTCAATAAAAAAGGAAAAAAATGTGAATTGATCTCATTGTGATCTTACCTTCTTTGATAGTTATAGAGTACTTTTTTCAGGTTTGACGTTGGATAATCACAGTGGGATTAGCTTGACTAATATGGTATCCAAAGTCTAAGCTCAATAATAATGCGGAGACTAAGTGATAGTCGGAAGGCACAAACACGAGAGAATCAGGCAAGCTTCAGACCAGGAAGAAGGTGTATTGATCATATCTTCACCCTTCGACAGATTCTGAAACACAGGCATACTTACCTGCGTCCAACAATCGTTATATTTCTTGACCTAAAGGCAATATTTGATTCTGTCGACCGAGAGGTACTATGGCGATGCTTGGCTGTGAAACGAATGCCGAGAAAATACATTGCGTTAATCAAAGCACTCTAATCGAACTCATGCAGTTAGCCAGGTGAGAGCTTACGGCGAGTTGTCATCTGAACTGATGACGACTAGTGGTGTCCGATAGGGATGCCCACTACCCTCATTTCTATTCAATTTCATCATAGATATACTAATGGACTACACCCTAGCTGCTGACTTCAGTGACTCAGGGATTGACCTGTTACCAAGGAACAGTCTGGTCGACTTTGAATATTCAGATGATATAGTCCTAGAGATGAGGACGCTGACAAAATGCAGAGTCCTCTGAACACCTTGAGCTGCAATCTTTGAATGCTTGGTATGCGATTCACTCCTGCCAAATGTAAGATGATGCTACAGGATTGGACTACATTGACTCCTAGCTTAGAAATAGGGAGTGGAGTGGAAGAGCGCATTGACAACTTCACTTATTTGGGAAGTTGCATCAGCCAGCCCCAACGCGTTGTTCGCTGACGAAATTTCAGCGCTAATGCAGAAGGCTTGTTTTGAATATGCCAGTTTACGCCGCCTCCGGTGTAGACGTGATATCCGGCTGGCTGTCGAGCGAAGGGCGTGTGTACTGCTCAACAGTTTGCTCTGTCCTTCTTCATGGCTGTGAGATATGCCCATTGAAAGTGAAATACATGAAACGGTTAGCTACTTTTGACTCTAGGTGTCTGCGTTCTGTCTTCCGTGTCAAGTGGTGTAATAGGGTGAACAATGTTGAGGTTAGGCGTCGGGTGTTAGGTAAGTAGGGGAAATCAATCGACGAGGCTGTGAAGTTTCATCGACTGAGATAGTTAAGACATGTGTTACGTATGCCTAGTCATCGCCTGCCCGACGACGGGCAATGTTAGCTGACATAGGGTTAGGCTGGAAAAGAGCTAACGGTGTTCAAAACAACACATGCCATCACCAGTCAGTGAAATCCACGACAGTTAGTTTAAACCACGTAGGAAGATGTAGACTTCCTGGTTGGGGTCCTCGGGACGGTGGAAACCCATGGCTGGAGACAGTTGGTGATATGGCTCAAAATCGTTCTCAGTGGATGGCGCAGATGCATCCACTCCTTGTGACTAATAATTTCCGATGAAGCCATATTGTTCTTCGTTATTACTATTCCTTTTGTCTCATTTCCCTATCTACTGTCTCCATTTTGCATTTCTTCTACGTTCTTCTCTTGCTTTGTGTGCTACATGGAGTGTGGCGACTTGAACTGCTGCACATCAGTGCAAAAGTTCTATGTTGAAAACATACAGACAGATATCTTTTAGAGAAGTAAGGGGTAGTGATCAGCAGGTTCCACCTGCTTGCAGTTGAGGATATATGCTCACTGATGCACTGGCTGGTGGTCGCACTAAAGTCATCAAAGTGGTAAAAGTTAACATTCATGAGATGGCTACTGAGTTGGGTTCCAGTGGCTGAATAGCCTACGAGCAAGCCTTGTATCTGGAAGGTCTTGAGTTCAAAACCCAATGGATGCGTACTGCCGATAAATCTCAAACTAGGACAAAACAGCTGCCCAGTACTTCCTGGTTCTCTACCTGATACCAATCTGTTCTCAAACCTGAAGCAAACCGAATCCATACATACTAACACTTGTGCATTTTTTGTTATGAAGTTTTTAATCACTACTTAAGCTGTATAAGTAGTTTAGTGAGCCTTTGAGAGTGACATGGAGAAGATCACGTGACGAAAAAACGAAAGCTTACTGGCAATCGTGGAGTTAACTAAAACAGATTAGCAAGAAGAGAGTGAAATGGATACGTGTTGGTGAAGTCCTCTTGTCTACTTGGAACCTAAGGGAATAATGATAACAATTTAGTATGTTGATTTCAAGGATCACAGTAATCCAATGTCCCTCCTGACTGTACTGTTGATTAAGACTCTCGTATGTACTTCCACCTGATGAGAGGCTTCTAAAGAATATTCTTGCATAAGATAGTGTTATTTCAAGCCTTCTTTCAGAGGATCTTTTTAATAAATTTTGCCTGGTAAAAGGCATCTATAGAATCCATAAACTGGAGGTTTCAACTAAGAAAACGGTCTACAAAATTACTAGACGTCATGAGTAATATCAATAACGGAGTTTTGCAGTGCACCAGAATAATAGATAAATTAAAGGAATTAAAACGACTGTTTCAGGATTTCATCATGAGCTGACATTAGTTAGAGAACCATTGGGAAACCTGGGAGAACTGGACAGCTGTTTCGTCCTAGTTTGGGACTCTTCAGCAGTACGCACCCACCGGGATTCGAACCCAGGACCTTCCGGTTACAAGGCGAGCTCGTATACCATTAAGCCACTGGGACCCGATCCAATGGTCCTTGAATTCTAATTTCTGCCAATTCACGACATAGCGTGACCGCTAGCCAATGTCTTCGGCGAGTATTTGTTCTCACACCCGACCTGCTGCACCCTACTGGTCACGACGTCCCACTGAAACCCAGGTAACTACCTACCTGAATAGGGCCAGTCAACAGTGAGCATCTCATTGGTTTTCAAATGTTGGTTTGTAGGGATTTGATTGGTTTCAGGATTTCATCATGAGCTGACATTAGTTAGAGAACCAAATCCCTACAAACCAACATTTGAAAACCAATGAGATGCTCACTATTCCTTTTGTCTCATTTCCCTATCTACTGTCTCCATTTTGCATTTCTTCTACGTTCTTCTCTTGCTTTGTGTGCTACATGGAGTGTGGCGACTTGAACTGCTGCACATCAGTGCAAAAGTTCTATGTTGAAAACATACAGACAGATATCTTTTAGAGAAGTAAGGGGTAGTGATCAGCAGGTTCCACCTGCTTGCAGTTGAGGATATATGCTCACTGATGCACTGGCTGGTGGTCGCACTAAAGTCATCAAAGTGGTAAAAGTTAACATTCATGAGATGGCTACTGAGTTGGGTTCCAGTGGCTGAATAGCCTACGAGCAAGCCTTGTATCTGGAAGGTCTTGAGTTCAAAACCCAATGGATGCGTACTGCCGATAAATCTCAAACTAGGACAAAACAGCTGCCCAGTACTTCCTGGTTCTCTACCTGATACCAATCTGTTCTCAAACCTGAAGCAAACCGAATCCATACATACTAACACTTGTGCATTTTTTGTTATGAAGTTTTTAATCACTACTTAAGCTGTATAAGTAGTTTAGTGAGCCTTTGAGAGTGACATGGAGAAGATCACGTGACGAAAAAACGAAAGCTTACTGGCAATCGTGGAGTTAACTAAAACAGATTAGCAAGAAGAGAGTGAAATGGATACGTGTTGGTGAAGTCCTCTTGTCTACTTGGAACCTAAGGGAATAATGATAACAATTTAGTATGTTGATTTCAAGGATCACAGTAATCCAATGTCCCTCCTGACTGTACTGTTGATTAAGACTCTCGTATGTACTTCCACCTGATGAGAGGCTTCTAAAGAATATTCTTGCATAAGATAGTGTTATTTCAAGCCTTCTTTCAGAGGATCTTTTTAATAAATTTTGCCTGGTAAAAGGCATCTATAGAATCCATAAACTGGAGGTTTCAACTAAGAAAACGGTCTACAAAATTACTAGACGTCATGAGTAATATCAATAACGGAGTTTTGCAGTGCACCAGAATAATAGATAAATTAAAGGAATTAAAACGACTGTTTCAGGATTTCATCATGAGCTGACATTAGTTAGAGAACCATTGGGAAACCTGGGAGAACTGGACAGCTGTTTCGTCCTAGTTTGGGACTCTTCAGCAGTACGCACCCACCGGGATTCGAACCCAGGACCTTCCGGTTACAAGGCGAGCTCGTATACCATTAAGCCACTGGGACCCGATCCAATGGTCCTTGAATTCTAATTTCTGCCAATTCACGACATAGCGTGACCGCTAGCCAATGTCTTCGGCGAGTATTTGTTCTCACACCCGACCTGCTGCACCCTACTGGTCACGACGTCCCACTGAAACCCAGGTAACTACCTACCTGAATAGGGCCAGTCAACAGTGAGCATCTCATTGGTTTTCAAATGTTGGTTTGTAGGGATTTGATTGGTTTCAGGATTTCATCATGAGCTGACATTAGTTAGAGAACCAAATCCCTACAAACCAACATTTGAAAACCAATGAGATGCTCACTATTCCTTTTGTCTCATTTCCCTATCTACTGTCTCCATTTTGCATTTCTTCTACGTTCTTCTCTTGCTTTGTGTGCTACATGGAGTGTGGCGACTTGAACTGCTGCACATCAGTGCAAAAGTTCTATGTTGAAAACATACAGACAGATATCTTTTAGAGAAGTAAGGGGTAGTGATCAGCAGGTTCCACCTGCTTGCAGTTGAGGATATATGCTCACTGATGCACTGGCTGGTGGTCGCACTAAAGTCATCAAAGTGGTAAAAGTT